TGCTCAGCGCTACTCTCTGTGAAGAGGCGACCATCAGGCTATGGCCTGTGGGTGAAAGTAGGTCGTGCTTGGGTTGATTTCCTTAATGAAGTTGTTAGACTTTTCTCTTGTGCAAGGCGCCAGTTGTAGCAGGTATTTGGCAGGAGAGGGCAATAGGGAACCGTCCTCCTGTGCTCAGGAGCAGATGCGCGGGATCCCCAGCCACCTAACCAAGCACTGGTGAGTGCTGCGTCTGCCGTCTTCCATAGCTGGGTGTAGACTTCAGAGGCAGAAGACTTACCTGGACTAGTCCCAAGGATGTGGTTAGGGGACCAATAACATGGAAGAACCCAAGCTAGTACTTGAAAGGTCTGCAGAGTCCGAGCTTCATGGCAGTACCTGGGTCTTTAATAATTTTTTGGTTAGGTATTTTCTTTCCATAAAGTCGTATAAATGAGCAAGGGGAAGCTCTTAACATTGCTGGTTATCTAGGAAAGGAGCTTCCTCGTGCTCTGCTGCGGTGGTGCCTGGGGACATCAGCTGCCATGAAGCACAGCTTAAGTAGCTCCTGCCGTGAAGTGCAGTTGTGGGTTGTGACCTGTATGCCAGCATACAGCAAAGCTTGGAATCCTGGGTTTTATAAGAACCGCACTTGTACCCCAAAATTACTACCTGCGTTTTGCCAATGGTAACTCATTTATCTTGCTTGGTAAAAAGTTGCAGTAGCAGGGAATTTCATAAAATCCTGTAAGAGAATGCTGAGAAATCCACCATCACTCATACTTCTTTTTTGTTGTTGTTCAGAAATGGCACCTCGTAAGGGCAAGGAGAAGAAGGAAGAACAGGTCATCAGCTTGGGACCTCAGGTTGCTGAAGGAGAAAATGTGTTCGGCGTCTGCCATATCTTTGCTTCCTTCAATGACACTTTTGTTCATGTGACTGATCTCTCTGGCAAGTGAGTATTGAACGCTGGTCACCTCCCTGCAGTTTCTGTTTTGAAAACAGAAATTAGATTTGGCAGGAGGCTCCACTGAAATCCTTCAGCTTCTGCTGAGCTGTAAGATATGATGGTGTGTGTACGTGAACATAGACCAGATGGCTTGGTGTGCTCCTCTGTGATGAATATTGTGCTCAAGGTACTGGATGGAAGCTTATTGATCCAGTAATGCTCAAAATAACAGCTTCTCTCTGTACCCAGAAGCTGGTTTGTGGGGAGGAAAGAGGAAGGGCTTTTTTCTGAATGTCTTGTTTCCCTTTTGTAGGGAAGCCATCTGCCGTGTGACTGGTGGCATGAAGGTGAAGGCAGACAGAGACGAGTCTTCTCCCTATGCGGCTATGCTGGCAGCCCAAGATGTTGCCCAGAGGTGCAAGGAACTGGGCATCACTGCCCTGCACATCAAGCTGCGTGCTACCGGTGGAAATAGGTACGTTGGAGGGCCTGGGCCGTGGCATTCCCAGCAGATGTGTCCAGTCTTAGAAGCATGCCAGATTGCACCACATCGCTTCTTTGCACTGCCTCGGTTGGGAAGGTAGATGCACCCCAGGAGTGACTTTAAACTTGACCTGAAGGGTGTCTGTCACATTGTGTGGTGACTGGCTGATGTGGTCATCTGTCGCTGAGCATCTGGAACCCGTTCTGAATGGGTTCTTCAGTTGACTGGAGCTAGGGTGTGCTCTTATTTATCTGGTAGTGGATGGGGAGGTGCTGTCAACTTGGAGATGTGTTACCTTGGAATGACAACGAAGTGCGTGTTTGGTGACTGATAGTGTGTGAATGGCTTGGGTCTGGGGACAGGAGGAGGGTGAGTTCTGGTATCTGGATGTTTTGGAGTGGGGAAACTATGATTTTAACATTGTCAGTTATTTGTGAACTGTGTTCAACTTCTGAATAATGTAAGGGGTTATGGGTTCTGGTTCTCTCCTCCAGGACCAAGACTCCTGGACCTGGTGCCCAATCAGCCCTGAGAGCTCTGGCCCGATCTGGAATGAAGATCGGCCGCATTGGTGAGTGATGGAGAAAGCGATAGCTAGATGTGTCATTGTATATCAGTGCAGAGCCTTGCTACCTCAAAAAATCAGTTTTGAGGGATTATTTAGTAAAAGGAGCTCAACAGGCCGTATATGCCACTTGGTATGATGGTTTGACTTCGGGGTCTTCTGCTTGGCCTCTGTCAGATGCCACTGTAGGTATGATTTAATTTAAACAGATTCTTAAATTGGAGATTCACCCGGAGGTGGCGTGAGCAGACTTCAGAAACCAAGTTTCTGTCTGCACGATAAACCGCAGCTGTACAGCAGGATGCTGATGCCCCTCTGATGTAACAGTGTTTGTGCCAGAGCTGTTCAGTCACCTAGAAGTACTGTGTTGGTCTCGGTTTAAGACCGACTCAGTAATAATGGAGTTCCTCCAACTGTTTGAGGGAGAGTCCCAAACTTTGTAGGGGAGTCACAAGAAGCAGTTGTGTTGGCTGCTCTGAAAGTTACATCGTGTACCTTCCGTTTCTTTGGAAACCCTGTGGCCACTTGGTTTAAGTGGGATGGGAGGTGGGGATTTTTGCTTCCTAAGCATTAAAAGCCCTGGGTACCCAGCCCTTGGCGAGTTCACAAATATCTTAACTCCCATGGAGCGTTAGTTCTGCCTGTGTGTGGCTCCTGCGGTGGCTGACTGCCAAGGTGCAGCTGTGGGATGTCAGGGTGACTGCTGGGGTTGGATGGCTGTGCCCGGTTGGTTTCTTGGGGTAGTTCTGGAAGGTAACAGCGTGGTTTCGGTTTTCTTGTCCCCGCAGAGGATGTCACCCCCATCCCCTCTGACAGTACTCGCAGAAAGGGTGGTCGCCGTGGACGTCGTCTGTAAACAATGCTGCACCTTTCATTAAAGCTCTCTTTTAAACTTCTTCTCAACTGTGTGTTTTCTTACTGAGGTATGCTCAGAAGTTGAGTGGCTTCAGTTCAACTACATCCACAAATGGCTTATCCTCTGAAGCTGGGCTTCTGGTTTGGGTTGTTGTTAGTACTGCTGCACCAGAGGTGCTTTTGAATATATACAGGAAAAGCTTCTAGAAGCACTGCAATTACAGCTCCCTCAGCTGCTCTGTTTATATATTTATACTTCCAGAGGTATTTAAGAAAAGTGACTCTATCACGCCCTGCTTCCTGCACTGATGTTTGCCCTCCATGGAACGTGCTGCCATCACCTGGAAGAAACGCCCATTTCCACCTTTCCCAATGTTCTCTTCCTATCTCTGCATTGCTCCTGTGTCTGTCACTTCCTCGGCTGGAGCAGGATTTTAGACCAAGAGAAGATTCGTGGGCATACATATTGAGAAGTATAGTTTAAGATAGGTGGGTTCTGTATGCTCGTGGTGTCAAGGTTCTTTATGCTTGTGGTTAAAATAGCTGTGGCTTCTACAGCTCGAGAGAGATGAAATTGCCAAAATTCCTCCTGTGAAATGGTGACTTTAGCCCTTGTACAGTATAGTGCCTGTTCTGATGTGGGTCAGTGTTGTGCTGCCCTGTGATCTCCCTGGCAATGCGGCGTGCGGTTGGTAGGAGCTCATTGTAGAGGCAGCTACAACTCGTCATGCTTTGCCTGTTCTGTTGCAGTCGCGTACTGTTCAGTGGGACTCCTGGCAATGAGCGAGTGAGCTCATCTGGAGCTGGTAAAACATTTGTCCAGGAATACGTGCGGTCATGTTTGAGTGATGGCTGTCTATCAGAATTGGTTAAAAAAAACTTATTAGCACAGTTATATGGCCAATATGAATAGTTTTGTACATGATGATGTGTGACCTATAAAATGAAGCTGGAAGGTGGTGTTCTGGTGACCTGGGCTCTTGGACGAGGTCTGTCTCCAGATCATGAGGCTTGAGAGCCTCACTGCTTTCACGTGGGCTCTTTCCCACACCTTTGCATCTTAAAACACTTCATGGGGAGATTCCTTCAGCTGTCCACTCCTGAGCCTCCCTCTCCTCATGGGAAAGGATGCTTTGACTGACAGTGTTGGACACGCTCTGCTCTCAAAGCAGTCTTTCTTCTGGTAAAGTTACTCAGCCTGGATCCAGGGCATGTTGCTCCTGTCAGGCTTGGTCTTCAGTTGTCGAGCGCTAGCTCTTGGGTGGTGAAAGGGGATGAGTTGCACAGCAGAGGAAACCAGGCTGTCTGATCTGAAGCCATGGTGCATCTCGATCTTCATAGTGAGAGCTACTTAGATGCTTGTGGTTTCAAAATGAATCGTGAGCTCTTGGAGGTGTCCTTGCTGTGGAGAAGAAAGCTGGGCTTGTGAGCAAGCTAACTGCTGCTGGGTGTTCTGCAAACTGTTGCTTAACACATGACTTCCCTTTTCTATGGAAAAAATCTCTACCTGGACAGATGTTCCTAAGCCAGCATGTCTCTTGGCGCAGCCATAGTGTTTTATTTGTAATTCCATGTGTGGCCATGGAAAACTTTAGAATAAACTTCCCTTACTGTCTTAAAAGTGCACTATTAGCAGTTTAAATCACTATTTTCCTGTACTTGTGTTCTTTGAACTCTGTGTGGAGAAGGTGCTGAAAACATGAAACCAGCAGTGGCTCAGCCAATGGGGAGCTGAACTGAGGAGGGAACAGGGCAGAGGCACGCAGGGGAGCGGGAGGCAGAGGTGTGGTGTGTTACTAACGGCTTTAGTCAATATTTTTTTTATATACTTCTATACAGTGAAACCTGTTGCTGTTCTGGTAGGTGTTACTCTGTCCCAGGTGACATTAATGTGGCTACTTCCCAGGGTACATTTGGGGAAAGCTCTACAGGAATATAAAATCCAAGGCAGGACCTTTGCATGCTACAAATTTAACAGACCCCTCTTGTCTCTTTGGGTGCAGTTTGTGATGTTTTCTGATCCGTTCCATCTCCCTTCTGCTGCCTACCAAGGCAGAGCGCAGCCACCCTGGCACAGGCTAGTTTAGCCCTGCTGTTTTTAAGGGCAGATGTGGAAATGGGAAGGTGTCAGCTCAATACTGCTCTAAGGGTATGAGAAGGGAAGCAGCTTTTTATCCAACTGGTGGGTTCCCCTGATGTAGCAGGGTCAGGCCAACCTCTGGGCAGCATGGACCAGGCTGGCACCTGGTGGCAGTGAGCTTTGTGGTGGCATTGGCCTTGCTCGGCCCTGGAGAGCAGGTTGCTGAAGCACCAGCTGAGACCTTTGTGTCTAACCCGAGGCAGCAGGAACCGAGACCTACTGCTGTGCTTGGCATATCTGCCCCTGGGGAGGTTTTCTGCGGCTTGCACAGGTGGCAGGAGCTTTGCCCAATGCAGGAAGGTGGATTTGTTTTATTAGCTCTTAACCTTTGGGAGCAGGAGCTCTCTTGGGTGTGCAGGGCTGTCCAGGCTAAGCTGCTGTAAGCCCAGCCCCTGCTGCTTGCTGCTCTCGCTGTGCTGTGCGCAGGGTGTTCCCTGGGCTCACTGCACAATTAATGGCAAAAATTGCTTTTATTTCTTAGCCAATCTGACGTCTTTGAAACAACTTCCCCTGTAGGTGTGAAACCCCCTAGGGGAGAAATGGTGAATGAGGAAGAGAGACCAGAGAGCCAGGCAGGTCCCTGAGCAGAGTGGGCTGCCCGGTGCATGGCCTGGGGCTGTCTGGAGGGAAAGACTCTCCTGGCTGAGTGGTGTGGATGGGTTTCATGGCTCCTGCCTGTTCCTGCCCCTACCCAGCTAGCTTGTCTTGCGTGATCTGGTGAGGAACTGCACCACCTGTAGCTGGGTGATGGCTCCCCGGCTCCGGCTGCGTAGGTGGGGGACATGTGTAGCTGCCACCCTGCACCTCCTAGCAGGGATGCGCATCCTCCCGAGGGCATGGGGCTGCTCGGGGGCTGCAGCGCATCCCCAGCCCACAAAGTCCCTGGGGACGGGTCTGTGCTCGCTAGTGAGCCCTGCGGCTCAGCCGTTCTCCTCGGGTTTGCCTGGGGCCGATCCTGTGCTGCCGAGGGTGTTGCCTCACGGGCAGTGAGAAATGTGGGTTTGTTCACCAAATGTCAGACTGCGCAGGGGTCTGCGGGCTGAGGGCTGTGAGATGGAGGCTCGGCTGGTAATGAGTGGCTTCACGTGAATGCCCATGAGGTTATTTCTGCCTCCCTGCCTGAAATAATTGCTCTGCTGGCTTGGGTCGAGGCCCTGGGGAATGGGCAGGTCTGAGCCGAGTCCTGAGACTGCTCCCTGCTCCAGATGGCCTCTTTTCCCCCAAAAGACAGCTGGTTCCCCAGCTTCCTGTAATGGTACTCGTCAAGTTTTTCATGGGCAGCGCAAAATGCATGCAAATACGAAGCCTTGGGGGTGACAGGGTGGTGATGAGCCTATGCTGGGTCAGGGTGCCAGCCTCAGGCTATGGAAGAAAGGGAGGGGGATAAGGCAGGCTGAAAGCTGCTCTTTAAAAAGGTCTGCATCTTCCTAGGAAAATAAATTTACAGACTTAGAACACTTTAGATGCCACAGCCCTGTGCAGAAAGGTGTATTGGGGGGGGGGAAGCACTGAAGAAGTTAATGGAAATGTCTGTGTGCAGAGCAAGGGCTGATTTGGTGCTGACAGTCCCCAGCTGGGCTGGGGGCTCAGGGGGCTCAGCCTGCCTGTGGGTTGGAGCGGGGCTCTCCCCCCGCCCCTCCCTTCCCCCCCAGTCTATTGCATGGGTT